CCGCTCCTCCGAGTCGGAATAAGAGCGCGAGGCCCCGGGGCCCCGGGGCAGCGGGCTGTCCTGCGGCGGGAAGACCCTGTGGCCGTTCTCCTTGAACCACAAAAAAATCCAAGTTCGTGAATTCAGTTTCCTGAACACCACTGAACTGGCTCTGCTCCCCGTTGGAGAAACTGGTAACTAAATAACTGAGGTACAGGTGTGCGTGTGATGGATTCTCTTGTGAGGGGAATGAAACAAACTGAGGCTGTGAAACTTGGATCTTATGCTGAAACTTCAGGTGTCTGTTTTTGTTTTTTTAGAAAATGTATCGTCCTCTGTGGTGGCCATAGCTAAAAACACTTCGATTAACTGAACCGTCGAAAGAAATATAAATGATTTTTTTTTTACTAATATTTCAAAATGGAAACAAAGAGATTGAGGGGAATTTTGAGTTTTATTTTGTCATTTTAAATTTAATATTTTCACAAATCCAGGGAACCCACAACGAATCCCAGGGATATCGAGCACAGGAGCATACTATACCAAAACTAGTGCGAGGTCACAAGACGTTCTTCCTCCACTTAGAACTGAATTCCCAAGTCGCCGTTTTTAAAGTAAAGAGCTGTGCAAATGTATATCCCCATTGGAATAACATCTCCAGGCCTCCGTACCGGACGACATGCTGGGATTAGTTACATATCTACAAACACGTCTATAGTTTGCAATCTATAAGCTGTGGTTTCTAGACGTTTTATTCATTCTAGATGTTCTTTAACTTAATTTTAGAGATATTGAGATACTTTGTGAAAGATTCTAGATTCAGCTACAGTGCATTACGGTAATATCGTCATTATGAGAACTTCAGATGAGGAGCGTGTTAAACTACCGGTCCAGCACGCCCGTGCTTGTGCCTCCCAGGCGAGCGAGCGAGCGAGCGGGCGGGCGGGCAGGACTGCGCGCACTACCTTCTCCGCCGCCTGCCGCAGCTCCCACTCCTGCCTCTCGCGGTCGAACCCGTCCAGCAGCTCCGCCCTCTCCCGGCTCCAGCGCCGCTCGCCGAGCTGCAGCTCCCGGCGCAGGTCCGCCAGGGCGCCATGGCTGTCGGCCAGCAGCCGGCGGTGCTCCTCCCGCTCCCTCTGGAGCGCCCCCTGCAGGTCAGCCGGCTCCGCGTCCCCGGGGGGGCGGGTCCTCTTGCCCTCCAGCTGCCGCCCGGAGAGAGGGAAGAGAAACACGCGCACAGAGAAACGCGCCGGTTACTCCCCGAGCACGGCTGCGGATTTCTCCGATCCCGAACTTCCACTCCGCTGCCTGCAGAACGGTTTCGTGCTGAAAATATATTATCTTGCTCTGCATTCCGCAGGGTGATGACACAACCACACTAAATTAGATATAATAATAATTATATAATACATAATATATCTAATAATAATTTGCAATGACAATGAGGTTAGAATCTGGCTAATAAACAGATTTTTGTGGAAGAGAATAACCCATCTAATCCTGAATTTAGGCTTTGGTAGCATCATAAGAAAGTTGTGTATAGAGGTTGCAGACACACACTCTGGAGAATATTGTCACAACATTCTTAACAATGCTGTCACAGTCGAAACGTACATGAAGATAACACTGCCGTGATGTTCTTCAGCCGGCTTCGAATTTTGTCTCATTCCGAAATCACGATACCATGTGTAAAACATCTCATCTTTAAAAACATACAGCAAACACAAACACAAACATCTTTGGTCTCTGTAATGTGGGAATATCATTGCGTTTGAGCATCCGACATGACCAAGCCATCCACCTTAACTGGAATGTTGAAAAACCCCTTGGTTAAACATTTCTATCCAACACAACCTACAGTAACTACTACCTTGCAGCAATCTACTGAATGGGAAATGTTAGAATGGTTTATAATTGCAGGTAAACGTTTTCCTCAAAAGTAATCCAGAACAAGTAAAGAAATCCACTTCTAAATGAAATAAGTGAGAGGATGCCTGCTGTAAAACACCATAGTGTTTGTCTTATCTTGGCTTATGTTATTCTGTCTGGGTACCATGAGAGTGATTTATAAAATAGGGTAGGTAGGTCAGGTCCCCTTTTCAGGCCATAAAGGCTCATGGGGAATGGGGGGCAAGGGCCAACATTTTTATCAACCATTCGACAGTGGAAGTTGAGGTGATGGGGTCAGCATCCCACTCCGGCCGGCCTGTTAACCCCAGAAGGATTGACCCCCAGTACTTGTTTGGAAAGCAGGCTGAGTGGATCTGGGAGCTGTCTCACAGGAATAAGAGCTCCATCGCTTGCCCCTACTGGGATTGAACCCGGGACCTCCCGGTCCAGAGCGAGACGCCCTTCCCATCTGAGCTACCACGGCTCCGATTGACAAAATGTATAACACATAACTTAATTATTTTAGATTTGCACAAAGGAAGCATTTTCTTCACATGAAAAACAGAACCACAGCAGGGATGAACTGATAAGGAAATAATAAGTGGCAACAACGTGATACTGGCTGCTTAGCAAAACCAAGCAAACAAGAAGAAAATTGGCTGCCCCTGAGGTTTGCAGTTACTGTATTAAATTATTAAAATTAGTCACCAATAAATTAACATGAATTATTATGAGAAACATACGCTAGACGTTTAGGTAAATGGGTGTAAAAAAACATCACGTCATACTTTTTGACAGTCCCTCTTTTTGCATTAGCTCATCACCAATATTAGGGCTCACCCTGCCTGTAATAGTTTCCATTGCACTGCCCTGAGTTTAAGAAAAAACAAGCGTTTGAAGTATACATACAGCAAATGTCTTTTTATACAGTACCTACTGTAGCTACTCATTAATTTATTATTTTTGTTTATTAAACAAGATCTTTACCCTTGAAGATGTTTGCGTTGACAAATTCCTAAAAACAAGTGCTGTTATGAATATGAATTAATTGCAACCCGTCTCTTGTGTATTAAGAGAAAATGTGTTGATATTATAATTATAAAACTAATTAGACCAAAGTACACTCTAAAAACACTAAATGTAGTGGCTTTCTACGTTCAGTACTTTCCCGGAACATCATAAAACATGGAAGAACTTCTGTACTTGTACACAGCGTTTTCTTTGCACGGGGGAACCATTGCAGATACCCAGCTTCGCACATAACCAAGTCCACCCCTGTACCATAGCATAACATGCTATAGCAGCTAGTACAGTATGTACATTAAAAGACATAAGTAAGCCTCACTTATATGACAAAGTACTAATGCACTGGCTTTAATTTAGTTCAGATGACACTGATCAACTAAAAGAAACAACAGTAATCACAAAGGTATAGTGATCAGCTACAATAAACAACATGAATCCCTCCTCTGTTTTCAGCGGATGCCTGCACTTTCTCTCTGACTTCAGACAGCTGTGCAGCTAACTTGGAAGTTGTGGCCAAGCTCATCCCACACTGCTCTCCTTCCACACAAGACCGAATTGCAAATAAGGGAATTTGTGAATGCTAAATTTGCAGATGTTGAGACCGAGCTGCGTTGCTCTACAAATGCATGAAGATTACACTTTTTATGAAAAGAAAATGGAAAAAAGAATGGTCACTTAAAAGTGTCCTCTAAACAGCAAAAATTGGGTTATGTGAAAAGACAAATTCCTAACACAAGAAATAGTATATGGCTAATAAAGTAAAAGTGATCTCTTATCTTGGAATTGAGTTATGCAACAAAAACATCTCTTATGATACTGATTCAAATGATATTTTCTGTGTTATTGAGATTCTGTTGCGATTATGTAACTATGAGCATTTGTTAAACCTCAATGTGCATTTTCGATTGTAGCACTGCTTTAATTGTAGCATCTGTTCTAGTGAAACAACTTTGAAAATAAAATAATTTTGGGAATTACTAGTTCTTTTTGTTTTGCTATAAGACATTAAGTACATCTACAATGGTTTAAAGTAAGAAAAGGTGTTTATCAACAAGAGCTCTTTCAGTCTTATTAATTCAATAGGCCAGATTTGACACAGTATATGGTTATTGGACACAAATCCAAAGATATTTTTATCAGTAACCTATCTTTTCTTCTTTTAAAAGAAGCTTGTTTTTTCAAAAGTTTTGTTTTTCCACTCAAAGGACAGTATGATCTCTCTTCAAGTCCAACCTTAAAAAGATCCTGTGATCTTGCAAGGTTTTATTTAGTTTAAGGCTATCCCTTTGGTATGTGTGACATTGAAGCTTCATTTCTATTGATTAGTCACCTTTTTGAAGGAAACTCAATAACACAATGTTCTTGAGGAATCTTCTCCTCTCACCTCCTTCAGACATGACCACATATGACAGCATCTCAGTTTCTAATTAGAACTGTCGATATCCAAGTATTCATAAATGTTGACAACTCTCTTTTGCTTAATAAACTACTGGTCAAATAAACCATGATTAAATCCAGTTTACACTACACATTGTTTTTTTGTTTCATCAATGACCTAAAACATAATCACAAATGCAACAGTCCAGTTCTGTGGAAAGAAAGTTGTCAGTTTGGAGACTTGAGATGTGGAAGTAGTCTACATGATATGAACTTGGGCTGACCTGCTAAAGCTTTTAACAGGCTGTAACTTGTAATTATTTCTCTGTAAAGGTGGTACTCATTTATAGAAAACAACAACAAAAATTAGATATTAATAGATGAGGGTACTGAAAAATACTATTAATACTGATGTGGCAAAACTTGCACGTTCAACACATTAATATTGATATATGCAGTTAAAAATAAAACTGACAGAATCGTTTGAAAGCCATTATAAGACACAAGGCCAAGGTTTTAGCCCTCTGAATATAAGTGGCTGTGTCATGAATACCTGCACAGGCAGTGACCAGTCTTAACTTGGTGCTTAACAGGCAAGTATTAGGTCATACCCGTCATTCCAGTGGATGTGCTTTGTCACTGTTCAGCACTGAATGAATTGAGAATGATGGATGAACCTGACTTCACTGTGGATTTAGACTGATTACCTTCACGTGCAGTCAGCGATGAGTAAAGGAACTGTGAAATCGACACAAGGGCCACTGCAAAGAAACAATTAGATCCCCGAGTATCGAGACAGAGCTTTCAGCTACAGTTCTGGATCTGCTAAATGGATTCATTAACATCTAATCATCCCTTTTCTGACCACATCATCCAGTACAGGGACTCGGGGCAGCCACAGCCTATCCTGGCAAATAACAGCTGATAGGCAGAATACACCTGGAAAGGCCGCCAGTCCATCACAGGGCAGACACAGACACAGACAGGCACACTCACACCAGGGCCAGAAGCCACTTAGCCTTCCAGTATGTTTGCAGACTGTGGGAGGAAACCGGAGCACCTGGAGGAAACCCGTGCTAACACAGAGAGAACGGGCTATTCAAACTCCACACAGACAGCACCTCAGGTCCAGAATTGAACCCAGGGCCCCAGAGCGCTGAGGCGACCATGCTGACCACTGTGCCGCCCGCGACCCAAAATCAATCTGGTGGGAGTCATTCCTCTTACACTTCTGGTGTTATTGATAAGTGGAGGGCTTTCAGCAAGGCGGAATACGTCACCTGCTCCACGTGGCACCTCATCTCGGCCCACTCCACCTCCCAGGCGGCCTTCTCGTTGGCGTAGGCTTGCTGCAGCTCGTGGCGCCGCTGCTGCTCGTCCTGCAGCTCCGAGCGGAGCTCCTCCAGCAGGGCCTTCAGAGCCTGCAGCACCTTCCTGTTCTCACCCACCTGCAGAACCACAGAACACGGTTCTGATGACGGCAGTCATCACAAACCTGCAGTGATCAGCTAAAATGAACAACATGAATCCCTCCTCCATTTCCGGCGGATGCCTGCACTTTCTCTCTGCCTCCATGGTCAGCACTCCCCACTGTAAAGAAATGGGCAAAAACACTGTCCACGAGCCAGTAAAGTCGTCTCCGGCCTGTCATTCCCCGTACTGCTGACCCAGAGAACACGGGCTCAGCCCCAGCGTGCCAGCACCCCCTCGCCATGCTGGGGGGCGACTTCTAGCCCCGGTTTGAAGTTCTTATATGGCGAAACAGATTTTGTTATTCAACAAGATGGGACTTTATTGGAAGGGGGTGAAAATGTTTGCAAGGTACTGCATAAGCAGCCTTCAAAAATGCACACCAACCACGCAATGGTCACAGTTCATGCCTGAGTTCCGCATCGTCTGCACCTCTACACCAAAGGCACCAAACTTCCACATGTTGGCCCCTGAAAGTCTGACGCTCCCTTACAAGTCATCCTTTTTTCTGATTTGTTTTTTCTTATTTATTTCAGTTCTACACCAGATTTATTTTCATATTTGCAGAATTAATACCACCATAGTATCATGTTGGGGGACCTTGATTTCCATTAATCCTAGCTTGAGGCAAAAGAAGGGCATTTAAAAAATAGTCTGATAAACTAAAGCCTCCCCTGAAAGTGTTTCTCGAGTTCTGGTACTCCGTACAAGCTCTGACTAATTTTCTAAAAAAGTGTAAGTTTTTAAAGACTTGGAGCATGAATATGAAAATATCTTCATTCACATGCAGGAACGCATAACACAGCACACTGCATTTACAGTAAATTTAGAGAATAGAGGCTTAGGAGGTGTATAACCTGCAGAAATCCTAATAAGTGCTGTCTGCATTTGAAAATTAACACTGGACACTCAGTCTCAGCTGTATTGATATCCTCTCCTGAAAGTGCATTATGTTGCAAGAGTTATGAGGCTTACAGAGTGGTTCATGTGAAGTGCTTTTCTATCATATATCACACCAGTAGCATGGTAGGAGTATGTGCTCCTCATATAAGTACAGAATCAATACAAAAATGCTGCAAAGTCTTGACATTTTGGAGTGAAGTATTCAAGCTACTTCCCTTTTCTAAGAGCTTATCAAACAAAAATACGAGACCATAAAGACAGCTTTCAGTTTTCTTCTTAAATTACAGCTTTAAATAATCAACATTTGCAAAAAGGCAAAGCATACGGGTTTATCAATTGTTGAAAAAAGTTATGTTTAGTATAGCTCTACACTAGTTTATTTGGACTTATTTACATTTCACTGATTTGGTTGACTTACTGTACAACTGCCATATTCAATACAATGAAACAAGTGGAGCATTGGTTCAAGGTCAAGGAATCTGAGTAGAATTTTTCATCTTTATTTTCAGGAACTGTAGCCTAAGCAAAGTGTTGAATCACACACATTGTCGTCACTTAAATTGAATTATGTCATACAAACGCCATGTGCAAATTGAAATAATTCACTCTGTGGAGCAACTTTATTTGTTGATACAGAAATGTATCTCCTTATTTTTATTTAAAGGTCATCCCATCAGAGTGACAGCACTTCAGTGAATCAAGGAGGTTTAAAGGGAGATGTGAAGCACTGCAATATGAACACATGTGAAAGATGAAGTCAGGCATTAGTCTGCCTTTAGCTGTTTTGGAAATCTTGCCATAGTTAGACAAAAAGACCTCAAAGACACACGAAGGTGAACTTCTGGTACTTTTATAATAATCAAATGAGAAAAAGGCAGCACAAAACGTGTAACACTGTAAGCTTTTAAATAAAACATAGTGTTAAGATTTTAAGATGAATTGTGTACATATGCAGCACGTTTCATCCGAAAGGATCCCAGAATGTTTCATATTTGTATTGTGACGAAGCAGAGGGACTAGGAGTGACAAGCTCAGCGGTGCTTCATCACTCCAGACACCGGACAGTTTGTCAGGGCACTTTTGGCACGGGGCTGTCAGAGGAATCAGAGGCACCTGGTGGGTCAAAACCTAACCAGGAGGACACAGGGTTCGAGGCCACCGCATAAAGCACAGATGCACAGGGGCAATTTAGTGATGCCAGTTAACACAGAAAAGATGTCTTCAAAACTACAGGGGAACATGGAAGCTCCATACAGACAGAGCCACTTTCCTTTCACAGGGAACTTTCAGATTCAATACACAAGATAAAAAGACAAGTGTCCCAGTCCACACGGTAAAATACAAAAGTGTCACAATCCATTGACCTCTAAGGTTAAAAATGTTTCAAAAGAATAGAAAAAAAATGAAAACACAAAATGAACCCATGATCATACAGAAAAATGTATCCACAAGTCTTAGAATTGCACATTACAAAACAGGTAACACATTTCAATGTCTTCTCTGGACAACAATAAAACTGATAATTGATTAACGCCTGATAAAAGAATTCCATTTTAATGTAAGGATTGGTATTGTATTCACTTTCTTAGTGTTATTTTTATGAGAAAAAAACAACATGCAGAAATAAAACACAACACACACCAGAATTATAAATAAACCCATAAACTCTTTTATAAGAAACTCCCAGGACATCTTTCCAGTAAAAAAATAGACCTGAATTTTAATTAGAAGTCTGTCAATTGTTTCAGTTTTTGCAAGCAACAACGTTTCCACAGGCACTGAAAGCTCTCTCAGTTTTGTGAATGAGAATGTGTGGCTGTTAATGCACAAATGCTTCTGTGTGTGTTTGCAGAGACTGGAGGAGATACTCTGTTGAGTTCCTCCATAAGATCAACATACTGTGTCTCATTCACTGTCAGCCAAAGCAGTAAGCACATAATAAATCACCTCCTGAAGTGTTTTTCCTTTTTCGGGAACATCAAGGACGTCCGTAGCCCCTGAAAAGATTGCCTTGAGGTTGCTGCCAAAAGCCTTTTTTTGTTCAGGTGACCCTTCATGTGCTGATTCGTCTTCTCTCTGAGATTCAGTACTACTGGCTTGTGTTGCACATGGGCACATGGCGGGATACACACTGGGCAGGATGCCAGTGCATTGCAGCTTTTGTATTGATGCAATTTTGTAAAACTGCCGCCGAAATTTAGAATATGTATATTGCCATAGTACAGCAGGCTCAGACAAGGCTGCAGCCCTGTTAGGACCACATTCCCCAGGAAGCTGGGGTGAAAGAGCTCCTGCCCTCACTCGCCTGACCAGTTGCTGGAAGACAATTGGACAGGTGACAGTTCATAATGCAGGAAGCAGAAGCCTCCAATAGTATGTTCTGTTGCTTGGGAAGAATGAAGCGACCAGCCAAGTTGCTGTGAGCCTACAGAACCGTAATTTGTTTTTGGATTGCTGTAAATTTAAAAGCTTCAGAAAAGCTTATTTTAGAAAGAGTTTTGTGAACGTCTCAGGAAGAGGCTATTGTGCTGTTTTAAGAAGGTAAGCATCTTAGGTATCTGTTAATGCTAGTTAGGGACTTGGAAGAAGACGGCAGCTCAAAGACAACTAGGCTTTTGTTTGGTGTGTTGTTTCTCACTGGCTTATACCTTATGACGTGTTTATGTGACTGTTTTCCTGGACCTGTTTTATAGATTCTGTTATGGTACCCAATCCCTAGTGCCACAATATTAACAGAGGAATGTAACTGAAGTTCTCCAGAACAGGATTAGAGACCCTTGGTTCACCCTTGGTTTAGTATATATTGTGACATTTTGAACCCTCATCTTGAACTGAGACACTGACCTTTCAGAGCAGGGGTCTCTTGTCCTAATCCTGGAAGGTCTGTTTGTCTATAGGCTCTTATGAAATGTGGCTCTTATGAAAGAGACACATCGGCCTTCCAGAACTGGAAATCCCTGCTTGACAAGAGCTGAGACAGTCAGGGGAGGATTACAGCTCCCAGAATCCTTAGCAATGTGGTCAGAAAGTACGTAAAGCAGGAAGAACCTATAAGCCTTTGCTGTTCTGGGTGGCCAGACGGAGAGCCTGGAGGGAAAGGATGTGGTGGGAGAAAAGCCCAACGGAAGACTTTACTTGCTGTCAGAAGCTGATAAAAAAGGACAAAAAGTGACTATTATTCCTGTAGCTACCTTGAAGTGAGAAGAAGAGTCTTCACGGTTTGGTCTTTGTTTTATGGATCAGAAGCAGAATAGCTACCTGACCATGAAATGTTTTAAAAAGACAAATCCAGAGAGCTCTGAACAAGGAGCTAGATTTGATTATATGTAGGTTGTCTGACCTATGATGCACTCCTTTATGAGGTTTAAAAGCCTCCATTGCATCTGACTTCTTTCCACACAAGAGAGCACGCTCAAAAGAGTCCGGCTGCTGGTCCCTACACCCCAAAGAGTCACCACGTCACAGTCCCGCAGCCTCTGTAGGTCTCTTGAGAACAGAAGCACAAGCAAACAACCAGCCTCAGATTCCTTGGACTGCAGATCCTCACTGACGGACTGGGCCCTGCAGCCAGTCTGGACAGGGCACGACCGTGTCTCCAGTTTCTACGGTGCCTAAAGAATTCCGGTACAGGGAAGCGGCTGCTCACGAACATTTACCGCAGCACTACAGAAAGTGTCCTCACTAGTGGCATCACTGTGTGGAACGGCAATCCCACCGGACATGACAAAGACGCTTTACAACTTTTCACAACTCGTTGTCTCAGAAAAGCTGAAAGCATCGCTAAAGACAACAAAGACAGCATCCTGGTTTTCTGCCCTATTCCCTCTGGTAAGTGTTATAGGAGCATAAAGGCACGAACCTCCAAATTCAGAGACAGTTCCCGCAAGCTGTCATATTACTGAACTCTACCCCATCACAGACTCACACTGTTTTTTTCCTCTTCTCACACTGATTGTGCAGATTTTATTTTTAAGTTGAATGCTATTTAACTTGTTCTTGTTGTTGCGTCTCTGTGTTTTGGTGGTTCCTTAATGTCTTTGTATAAGCATTTCATTGCACTTGTGCATATGACAAATAAACCGAACTGATCAAAGGGTTGTGGCAGTTACTTCAAATGCATTATTGAGAGCTAAGCTGGAATGAAACTCTGCAGACACAGCAGCCCTGACCTTGAACTGGGCATCAGTGAGAAAGCAGCCCTGGATGTTTTAAGCCAGACTGGAAAGGACAGACCTGGAATTTCAAACACAGCCTTTAATCCATCAAGGACACATAGCTGGGACTGAGGCACAGTACCTGCTTTTGCTGCTGGATGAGCTCTGGGGTCTGCAGAGGTGGTCCCTGGTCACTGCTCTCCCCTGAGAGAAAATATTCGCTTTCCTCGCAATCCTTCTGTTCCAAGAGCAGGTTCAGTTCGGGCATACTGTCGAACTTCTCATACTGGAAAAAAATACAATTCACAAGCAGGGTCAGAGAGATTCTAAGAAAATGATCTAATGCACTCTTACGACTTTTGCTGTTATGTGAATTAAGTAAGACCATCTGTAAAAGCTGCACTTGTGCTTCTACAAAGCTAAGATGCCAGTGATGCTAGAAATAGATACACTACAGATTGCACTCTTGTTGACCTGCTATGAGGACAGTGGACTAATATGACATATTGAATGTGTTCAAAATTTATTATGAACTTGGATACGCTTTTGAATTTTGCGTTAGTTTTGGGGAAAATGTTAGCTTTAATATTTTTTTTCTTACTTATTTCCTAATAAGGATACGATTTACCAGCAATCGGTGAGATTCACACATCCGCTGTTGCATTGAAGCCCGACCCATCATTCAAGATCACAACCATTCCAGCCATAAACTGTTCTCCCCTCTGCGCTCTGGTAAGCGGTACCGCACTGTTAAAGCTGGACCACTAGACTCAAGAACAGCTTCTATCCCACTGCAGTGCACATCCTCTATAGCTCAGGGCCTCAGACTCAATGCACGTCTACACTTCGCACTTTTTGCAGGGTCTACCTGTTTTGTTTTTCACCACTACATACTTATTCTTCTCCACAACAACAAATTTAGTGTTCTGGTTGTTATTATTTATTATGTTTGTAATGTAAACCGTCGGCACTGTTTGTTTTCGTCTGCTCCACCATGTCGCCTGCTGTACTGTGCAAGTCCCGAGCGATTGTCTGGAATAAGGATTCCAATGTACTGTTCTTGTACATGTGGCAATAAACCTTTTGATTTGCCGAATTATGCCAAAGAATAAACAATAAAAAACAAACATAAGAATAAATATGCACCCACTGTAAAATAATGACCCCCTAATGTGATGTGAGATGGATACTGGGTGGGTGAAAAGCCGCCACATTTATGAAAAAGGCAAAATAATAATAAAAATAGAACGGTTTTCAAATCCAATCCCTTGTGTGCTCATGCCTGACACCATGTGAAGCAGTGAGGATGGGATCCCAAACCCCAGTGCGCCGGGGGCCACTCGCCTCCATGAGGTCGTCCTCCTCGTCCTCGTCGAGCGGCTTGCCCTGTCTCCAGTGCTTGAGCAACCACTGCAGCTTGACGTAGGAGACGAAGGTGTGGTGGCGGAAGAGCCGGACCTCCTCCCGCAGCAGGCCCTTCTCCTGGGCCCAGGCCCTCTCCTGCAGCTTGCCCTGGAGGCGCAGGCCCTGGAGCTCGCTCTCCTTCCGCAGCACGGCCTTCCGGTGCTCCTCTTCCAGCTGGGCAGCGGGGGGGAAAGCGGGACCGTCAGCGTTTCTCCCGCCCCCGACCCGACTTCTGCAGGGCGGGCCGGGCCGCCGCGGGAGTCGGCGTACGGAGGCCGGGCCTCGAGCCGTGTGCGGAGGGGGGGTGGTGGTTCTGTTCAGGGTTTCGCGCCGCGGAGAAGACGGCCTCGATCGCTCAAAGCGCCGCGGGAGAGCACGGAGACGGGGGGCTGCCGCGGCTGCCCCGAGGAACACGCCGTCGGCCGTGCCCGTGTCTCGCCGGCTGCGGTGTCTGCCTGAGGCGGCGGGAGGGCGGCGGTACCTGCAGGATGCGGCTGGCGTTGAGGTCCTGCTCCTCCTGCCGCAGTCTCCTCTCCTGCTCCAGTCGGGCCTGGATCTCCCTCACTGGACTACCCGCCTCCGATACAACAGGGGCGTCCCTGAGCTAACCCCCAAGGGAAGGACGACAGGTTACCTTCACAGGAACTTTTTGACGTTTTTACTTCAGCTGCAGCAAATTTTGTCCGCCACTTTAAAAAAAAAAAAATTCCTATGACTCCCATTAACTGTACACTACGCTGCTTATGTATTTTCCACATGCAAAAATACAGGAATCTCATTCATGGCGATCGTGTGAGTGAATCAATCAATAGAACAGAGTCAACAGAAGCGCAGACCAACATGAGATGCTTATCAAAAACTGCAGTTGTATTTTAATGTATTTAATGTATTTTATGATCATATTTTGATGTTCCCTGCTAACCACAGACGGATAATTCTTTCAATTACTTATAAGACTGTGTTTCTGTTCTTGTAGCCGAAGTGATTTTTGTGCCAGAGGCAATATTATATTCAAGAAGCTTATTTTTGGAGATTATATTGACAGCAGGATCCACTATAATTTTAATAAGGTACTTATTATCAGTACAATAATAAAATAAATATTACAAAAGGTTGTGGTATGCTCAAAGAAAACATTGTAACTTTATGCCTCCCTTTTGCACTCACCTGGGAATTCAGAATTGATCTGATCACTAAGGTCCAATGATATTGTCAGCTGAGAAAAGTACCCACAATTGACTCATACCTTGTCAACTGCATATGACAACCCTATGATCTGTTTGTGGATTCGGAGAGGTTACTGGGATCACGTCCATAGGTTAACAGTGGCAGCCACTAACTCCGCTGGATTTAATGCAAAAACCCCCAAAAAACTCTAAATCATCGAAAAAAATCATCGTGTACCCCAGCTTCAGCTGCTGGCTCAACAGTAGTTAGTAAAAGGGATAGTGGTTTCTCTGGATTCTAGTTGTGTGTGTTATTTTGTAATGGAAAAACACACAGTACACATAAGAGGAAAGGGATGACATTAAGCCAGCTGCAGAATGATGGCATGCAGGGCCATTAATGCCAGCTTTCAAAAGCAGCTCATCTCCCTTCATAGTAATATCACTGGGCAGCGTTATGATCGTGCAGTGTTTTTAGATCTGTGCTTCTGCTTGCTGTTACAGCAAGACCAGTGTGAGTAATCCTCAAATCCACCAACACAACGCTTTTTTCCCCACGGCAAATTTTCACAATAAAATTCCTTATATCCGCCTTGTTTCCAAATAACGCAGCCAAAAAGGTTCTGGATAAAAGGGTTAGACGAGTAAGCCAAGGTCAACCACTGCCAGTGTCACTGCCAGCTGCTCCACAGACGGAATGGAAGGAGGCCACTGTCAGTGTGTGCTGATGCTGCCAGGGTTCGGGCTCCACCCTTGTGTTAGCACTAGAGGTGGACAGATTCGTTTTTCACGGGGGTATCTGACTTGAACGCATCACTGACTTTCCACCTACGACTATAGGTAAGGTAATATCAAATCCAAAAGTTATGAAATAAACCTATATATTATGGAGTATTTAATATAATGTTTTATTGAACTTGGAGTTGAAGTTCCAAAGTGTTTCAGGACTTTATGAGACCTTATTCTACAATGAATAATTGTTTTATTTACAGCACAGTGCGTGGCATTTTCCCCCAAAACGTTTTACTGTTCGTGCATGTATTAAGGAGAACAGAAAAGCCAATGCACCAATGAAAAACAGGGATACATTTTGTAATGCTTATGAAACACAACTCAAAAGGTAAAATTGATCACATTGCTTAATTTACTTTTTTAACGTAAATTAATCTTTTCACGGTAAAATGCAATGAAGGATATCATCAGCTAGCATTTTGCTATAAACTTCTCTCATTCTCCCAAGGAAATTTCCTCTCCTGCTGGCTATACCAGCTGTACATACTTGAGGCTCTCTGTCACACAGTGTTAACAATGTTCTGCTTTTTGCATTCCTAATTATTTCCCGTACAAATGTATACTCGATCTTCATGGGGTCACGGTCACACAGCTAGGAAAGTCAGCACAACCTGTTGTTCTTCCTTTCTGACTTGATAGGAAAAACCTGACGTTTGAGTGGGAGCTGTGTCAGCATGCATTTGCTGCAAAGCAATACAGAAAGGTTAATTCCACACTGAAAAACAGCAAGGAGAAGCAATGTTTCAGCTATAGAGCTTTCTCCAGGTGTGTGAGAGTGGAGAGAGGTGATAATATGTGAAATGGCATTGTTCCTTTACAAATATGCAGTCTATTTTTATCAAGTTGCCCACTGACAAATAACTATAACTCTCTGCTTCTTGCTACACTCTCCTTACTATTTTCTGTGATACGGCAGAATCGATTTCTTGTGAACATGAGTGCTTCAGAGGAAATTAGTAACTTGGGAATTGGGCAAAAACCCAGCCTGTCCTCTTTTAACTTATTGCTTCTTTCAGTTTCAGGAAATATTTTCACCCAGAAAAGTGTCCCTGTTTGAGTATTCGAGTTTTGATTAGCAATATTCACTTTAATAAATGGGTATACAGTACATCATTTGCAATTCAATAAAACGGGACATCGTTGGAAGGCTGTAAGTAGATCTGAAAGGCACTGTGTGTATATCTTTCCTTGAATCCATGTTAATTACATTTAATGTGAAGTAATCCTTTATAAACCTTTAGGCTTAATAGAACCAGCACTTAGTCGCTCAGCCAAATCTGGTAGACTGTCCCAGATTTTCACATTTGTCTCAATTACTTCAGACTCTGAAGGTTACTTACAGGCTTCTGGATCAAGAGAAATATACATTGTGCTTCAAAGGATAACAGTTTCATTAAGCTAACTGAGGTAAAATGTCAATAAAAATAACTGGATATTTTTTAAATGATTATTTAGCCATTTACTTAAAAGTTCCAATAGTTGTGAATTCGGTTGTGTTCGCAATTTCTGTTGGACATTTAACTTTATTATCAACTTCAGAAATGTCCATTGACATACTGTAGTCTTTTCAGAACTCAGCAAATCAAGCAGTGAGGTCAGTTGCTATCAATTCTGGGATATATTCTTTTACTTTAAAATAGGTTACTGTTGTTTCTAGACTTATACAACTAAAGCACTACACCAAAAACATATTAATTGTTTAACATTTAAATTTTTTATATTTTATTAAACAAAATTAGTTTGACATGAACCATGCACTGTCAGCAAACTACCAAGAGTAAGAAAAGCCTTTCAATGTCACTGCAGAGGAGTTTTAACATTTTAATTTATGCTTTTATTCAAATGACTCAACTACTACAGTTCTCTGTATATACAGTATATACTGTATATACACAGTGTGTACCACTATTCTTTCCTAAATTATCCCTTTTCATCCATACTCTGTGCATGTTCACTGTTTGCTCAAAACTCTGTTTATTCACTTCCTCTCGTCTCTACTGTATACCAGAAGACAGAACAAAGTCAAAATGCTGTGTTTTTTACTCTACTCTTTCTTTTAACATTTCAGTGTGGAATTAACCTCTAACTGTTGCTTTAAATCTAGAATTGATGGCACATATGTTTGGTACTGTATAGTACACATGCAGTACTAAATCAAGCCAGCATTTTGTTTGGATAGGCTGGGTAATGACACAAGGATCCTTGGATAAAACTTGTTTCATCTACCAGCAGAAATTCAGATACCTCAGCAAATAAGTGACTTAAGCAGTGATGTATCTGATGGAGCAATACAGCATAAAAAATAAACACTTATCAATTTAGGTTCAGTTGCTGCACATAGATAGACCTATGCAACAAAGATAAACTGTCAGCAAAATTGTGTACTATTCACCCACCACTTTGTCATGTTTTTTTGAAGAAAAAAATGAAAGCCAATATGTTGTATAACCAAAAGTGATATCTTTATCACACAGATAGTTACAAAAATGCAATAAAACAAAACACACAGACATCCTGCCAGCTGTGAAAGTAGGCACAATTTAGACGAGTAAAACCAATTTGAAAATGCAGGACGGCGATCATTTTGAAATATTTTTTTTTCCTTTAAGGGAAGTGACACCAAAAGACCTCAAGAAGTCCAGTAGCAAATAAAAATAAGCTGAAAAACAAAACATCCACAAATCATAATATCTACAATAAGAAGCAGTGGCTGAAAGAGCAGAGGATTTTGTGAAGGAGAAACTGAAATCAAACTGAAAGGGATAAAGCGGAGCTGAATTCCTGCCTTTCCGACTGTCTGATTGTCCCTTCATGGTCGATTAAATCCTGTCAGATCTGCAAAGCCCGTTGTCTCACAGAGACTTTGCTATTATGTATTTTTTGATATAAGGGACAAGTCAGTTTTATTTTAATTGAAAAAAAAAACATTATTCTGCATTAATTATGTGAGTGACATTTGATTTATTTCTAATCTTGAATACTGCAACTCTTTGAAAAATTAACAGCATAAAACTTCTTTTTATTACTTGATTTTTTTTGGGGGGGAGGTATTTCAGCATGAAGGTAGCCAAAATGCGGTGCACGTGCAGCCAGTTTAGGGCAAATTAACTTTGGCATTGTGCTAAACCTAGTAACAGCTAAAGGTAAAACACAGTCACATTTCTTATCAGTTAATGGGACCAATGAATCGCAAAGATGAAACAAATTTATAGAATAGAAACTTAACCACACAATCAAACTGAGATAAAACCACCACAAATAGACTCTCTTTTTGGTGGTAGCATAGGCCACGTGAAACTTTTTTCATAGCAATACAGTAAGCCTTAATTGTGTAAACGATCACTTGCGTTTTGCCACTGACACCTCTTTTTCTGCACTTAGGGTCCTGGTGTCTGATTTTCCCAAACTGCGATTTGTGATTTTGAGCTCTGAAACCGTTAAAGGAAGAGTGATGAGGCACTGACCTCTATACTTAAACACTCTGGCCTGTGGTACTTATTGTCTCCTTCGGTTCGCCTGCTTTGGTCAGCACCCAGAGGACCGCTCTGGGTCTCTGGCTCCACGTCACACTCCTGTGTTAGACGCCCCTCCGTCTGATCCCTCAGTGTGGACTGTGGGGGGAGGAGCAGGGGCAGGGGGCAGGGGTGCATGGACGATCGGTAAACAAAGAACGAAGGCCGGGGAGGGCAAATAAAGAAACACAAAAAAAACGGGTGAAGAGGACGACTGGAAAAACAGAACAAAACAAAACTATAAGACAAAGAAGAGTGTGAAGAGAAAAAACAACTTGAACACGGTGGCGTAAGAGAGTGATGAGAACAGAACTAAAACGAGGACGAGCAAAATCATGGGCTGAAACATCTGGAAAGAAAACAACAAGGAGAAAGAGAGAGGAAAAAGAATGCAAACACCGGTTATGAGGCGCATGCAATGAGGGATGCATGAGTCAAAACCAACAGCTGGCATACAACCATGACCGAGTTAGAGACGCAGGGCGTGCCCTGGCTCAGTGCCATGCAGACAAGCAGTGCCCAGTGAAGACTCTTGTGGTGGGACTCCTGAGAACATGCAGTAACTTTATTACTCGCATACAATCATCAGCATCATTAACTATAAGGCAAGAAGGGCTTGGTGTAGTCCTCCTACCAATTAAACTGTAAGACTCATTCAAAATTCCAGCTGAAAATGAAGAGGTTGCTCCTCAAAAGAGAAGACGGCTGTGTGACTTAACAGAGAGTCTTGTGAACTCAAAACTTCTTGGGGTTAGTTTATACCAGGGGTCTCAAACACGCGGCCCGCAACGGCTCACGTGGACTAACAAAAAGTTACCAATAAAATTCAGTCGTTGTGGTCATCTGATACATTTTTTTGTTCTAGAGATTCATTTCCTGTTTCAATCATCGCCTTGGAAATATTGTAGCGCCCTCGACGGGTGATGAAGCGGAGGCGCACCCGACTCCTGCATGCGCCGCGGTGCAGGCTGGGAACTGTAGCCGGAAGATGGTCCGTGGGCCTGCAGAGTGACCACTAGGCCATCCTGCTGATGGAAATAGTGACTATGAAACCTAATGTAAATAGTAGTTAATTGTTTACTCCTGTTTTGTCCCATGTCTTGTAACCACCTTTAACCAGCATACAGGTCCTATTCATAGCCCTTGTGAGTTTGTTAATCCGAGGAGCTGGTGTGTACGTCTCTGTTGCCTGATTGCTGGCTGACAGAGTGCTGTTAGTAAATAGAGTAGACGGACAGAAAAAAAAGGTTTCCGAGGTTAGTCTCTGCATCTGCTAGAAACATACCAATGATTGGCAGTACGTACAGTACGTATGGAAACAGTTTTTCTCGTAAATGAAGATCAACAAATCAGTTTTATGGTCAAGACTCACTGATGAACATTTCTGAGCAACATTGCGATTGGCTACTTCACATGTTCTTAGGCCTAATGTTGACGTTCTGGTCTCTGCAAAACGCTGTCAACAAGGCAGCCAGAATGAAGAACGTCAGGAATAACCTCACATGATGTCGAGGACGTTGAGTAAAGTTAACCAACGTGTTTCAAATAAAAATTTCAGTTTCAATTAAGTTTTTAATATTTGATGCATTTTGTATGTGTATGAATGCGGCCCGCCGATTAGCGCATTTTATCTAATGCGGCCCCCACATTCATTTGAGTTTGAGACCCCTGGTTTATACAAACAACCATATGTATATACCATTTTAATGTTTTCCACAAATAATTAGCAGGTATGGGCTGGAAACACAGATATTTACAAATCATCAATGTCAATTACATGTTCCTTTCCTTAAAATTCAAATGCAGATCCCTAATATAGCAACATCTTGTCCAAGCCTGCTGTTTTAAAGAATCGCTTCATCCACTCATGTTTCATGCTTACGTGATCGTGGTGAGCTCAGTTTGTTGTTCTTTACAGAACTTTACAGTCTTTGTTTCTTTCCCATACATTACTGAGGATGGAAAAACCAGATTTGCTTTTGAGAGTGTGAGAGTTCAGTGGAAACCTCTGGGGGAATAAGCCACTGGCCTCAGTCACCTGACCAGTTGCTGCGTGACAATTGGTCAGGTGACAGTTTAAAAATGAGGAAGTGGGGGCTTTTTCTGCTGTGCTGGCAGTGTCTGTCAACTGGAGGCCAGAGAGCAGATCCTCTGTGAGCAGCCTGGCCCGAGGGGGAGGGATTCACCAAGAAACCATGAGTTTTGAGATTCTGAGCAGTGTTTGGAAGTCTCAAGAGAGATTTGAGACCGCTGAAGGTTTTGAGAAGGGTCATAGTGAGAGACCAATCTAGAGATTGTTTGGAAGCCAGTAAGCAGATCAGTTTCCTGGTATGACAGTCAGGGACAGTTTAGTGAGTATCTCAAGAGGAGCATAGGTTTTGTTTAGATTTGTTTATGTGGTTGCGGTGATGGCTGATTTTAGACTGTGTGGTCTGTTCAGGACCGGCCTGGTTTAAAGATTCTGTTATGGCATGCCCAGTGGGCTGTGACAGTGGATACCAATATTTACCTGCTCTCATCATATGCAGTTTAACATATTTTAAAAAATGTTCTATAGTGTCATCCTGCAGCATTGACATGCAGAAAAGAAGCACTTACTGTAGCTTCAATTTAGAAGGTATTCACTGATACAGTACCTTTAAATATCATTCACACAAATTTAGGGATATACTTTTTAAATTAATAACAGCATTGTTCTATATATAAATGTAAAATAAAGGTTAACAATACAAAGCTCACCTCAGATAGAAAACAAGAAAATTTAAAAGTGATTCTTTAAGTTCAGCAGATTGGGCAAGTGCGACTTGGTTACACCATGCCTCAAGCAGAAGTACATGGACTGCGAATATCAAGTTCGAAACTATGGAACTGAAGATTTCCCAGTGCTTTAGCTGAGACTGATCCTACATCTACAGCAGACTGAAGTACACTCGCTTCTTTTCAGCACTGGGAGATCTTGTTGCTCTTTAAGCACAGGAAGAAAAAGAGCTATACCAAGCACTTATGGCATAGAGTAAGCAACAGAAGAAGCAGCTAAGACTAGCAGCAGGAACAGCATGGTGGAAACCATATTGCAGAAAAGCACAGCCTGACGGTTGGAGGTCTGCAGTGTGGCCACTTCTCTTGAAGGTTTGAATTGACCTTACCATTTATACATCAACAGAGAGGAAACACACTGACGATACGGGAGGCCATCAGGGTGAATGTGATTATTCAATTTTCATTTCATACGGAGATCAACTACCTTAGAAGTTTGTTTCATTGTTATCTTTTGGACATGATATTCTGACTTCTAAATTGTGTCAGGTAATACTCATTATCGCAGAAATCAGCCTCTGAAAAATAATATTAGTCAATGTTTCTTTTTTATCCTGAAATTTCTTTTGAAGAATAAAAAGACAGTGGGCAAGCAGCCACATTAGGAAGACAACTTGACAATGCTCTGTCCAATGGTGAAATTTATCTACAGCAGTAAAACAAAATACAAAACAAGAACATGTTGTAAGAATAAAATATCAATTGACAACAAATGTAATGATGCTTCCAAAAGACAAACACAAGAAAACACCTGCGCAGTAGAACTACTTATTTTTGTTTAACGGTGTGTTTAGAGCTAAATAATGCAAGACTGTAAAATCCCTTTGCAAACAATTTTTTGTTAAAAATGTTCACAACCCAATTCAAGTAAGGATCTTTGTTTTTGAAAATAGATTTTACATTTCAATTGTCAAGTTAATATTGTATATACCCTTAAACAAAAGAAACTTAAGGTTTTTATTCCATGTCAATAAAGAGGTAAAAAAGATTCTGAATAATTTTGGTAAAATAATTTCAGGGTTAATGTGCAGGACTTGCTTGTCGGTGTCCTCCATGACCATGTCTTGCTGACGGATGCTTCCAAGTTCCACTTCAATTCGAAAGGATAAATTCCCGCATAAAATTAAGACCCGAATCGTGTGAAACATCTCCGGGACATGGCGGATAGTCAGGTGTGTCAAAACAAAGCCCACCATGAGCAGGGTATTATCACCAACCCCCAAGCTCAATGCTGCCAGGGGCGAGCACAAGAGAGACTGAAACTTTCTTGTGATTTCTTCCTCTGAACTGGTTTACACAGGAGACGGTCGGGTTCGAACGAAAAAGGTTGTTTAAGTTTGAAAATAAATTTGAGTGAGGTTTCTTTTACTTAAGATTCATGTTTTATTATAACAGTGGCAGCTTCTTTATTTGTGGCCGCCTACGTTTCACATGGGGAACACATGCTTTTACTACCACTAACAACATACAGTAAGACCTCGGTATTTGAGAGGGCGAGGCCCCTTGCAGGACCAATGAATGGCGAATTTGCAAAGATGGGACTTGAAACCTTATGGGGAAAATAGGTATGATTCTGTGGCAAGAACTGTTTTTGCCCCCCTACAGTATAATTCATGTTAATGCATTGGGAAAACAGATCTATCAGATCACTGTTTTATTATATCTCACCCTGTATGACAGTTTTTTCATCTTTCAATCTTTCTTTAGTTTTTATATCTTGTTTTTATTATAATAATTGTAGCGCTGATGTACTGTCATGAAGTTGACTGCAGCACAGTAATGACAGACAGGAATTTAAATTGTGTGCTCACTCCCTTCCCTCTCAAACAACTCACCCTCTTGACCCTGCAGTTTAATTACAGTATTTCTTTTCATTTCTTTTGTTATTCGTTGCTGCGAGACACATGAGAACTAAGACTGTGGTAACTTAGGGGACGTTGGAGGGCTTTTAAAATTATTCTTTTATTTCGTAGCACAACACTAAGTCACATACAGGCATAGCTCACAATGCACTTCTACATAAACATGTTAACTCTGTTCACGAAGTTGTGTCTCTAATACAAAGACCAACTCAGGCTGGGTGATTTACAGTAGATCTGCAAGATGAAGCTACTTTGCTGCCTGTGAAACGGCAAATTTGGTCCGTGAACGCAGAAATTGTGATCCCTAAAGATTTCACGCGAATAGGCGTCATCGCAAATATAGCACTCGCAAATATCGAGGTTTTGCTGTATCTGGATTTCATATATCAAGTGCACTGAATTTATGCTGACCAAGAAAAAGGCGTAGTCACCTAGACACTTCAGTGCCTCTTTTAGACATTTTAGCCATTCATATATGTTTAGCTGCTACTATAGATCCTAATCGAATCACAAGTAGTGGTAAAGAAAGGCACAAGACCATCTCTGTCCTTAAAATGACTTCACTAAAAGGAAATCATTTCAAACAAATCAGCTAATTTTCATATGGGATATAGCTATTTTTTTGTATTAATGAGCAGAAGCCATCTGCAGGCCTTTTTCGAAAGTAAACCGTAACAAAAAAAGAAGCAGAAACAGCACGTCTTGCACTGCCTCCTCCACGTTCTTCTGCCGGGGAGGCAGCGTGGGTCCTCTAATGAAACGGAATAAAAAGCGCTTGCCTACCTGGAAGTCAGCGATGAGGTCCTTCCCTAAGGTGCCAATAGGCGAGTCTCGTGACATTGAGGTGACCCCAGACAGGAAGCTGGCTGACTCCGTGAGGTTTGGCATGGGGGAGAGGTCATCCACCTGTTCCCTGAGGCCTTCGCCGATGTGGTCCACTTTCTCCATGAAGGTATGCAGCTCTGTCCTGAAGGCTTTCATGCGGGCATTGATGGCATCCAGTAGCTGAGGCTCTGTCTTGCCCTCTGCTGAATTCCCATCCCCTCTGAACTCCTCCTCAAGGGCAGTCCCAGTCATCACCAGCACCTTCGCATCATAAATTAGGCTGTCGGTGTCTACGATAAGGCGATCTACGGTTTTCCCAAGCCGCTCTGCTTCACGTTTCACGTTGGCTAAAGTCTCCGTGTCTTCCTTCTTCTGCTGGACGAGCTCCACCGCGCTCAAGTCACTCATCTCCGAGGGCTTGCCACTCCCAAACCCCGAGGTCTTCTCGAACAGGTCCTCGGAGTCACTCTCCCCACCCACCGGCCCTTCCCTCTTAGGGTGCAGAAAGAGCGACCGCCCCATCGTTTCCTCTTCCTCGCCGTCCTTCTTGCCCGCGTCGCTCTCCGCGTCGCTGTCTCGCGGGCTGGCCGTGCGCAGGCCGAGATGGGAGACCAAGTCGTACCGCTGCGCGTTAGAGATCAGGACACGGTTTTCGTACTGCAGCTTCATCACCTTCCCGCTCAGCTCGTTGATCTGCAAGCGGGCTGCTTTCAGTTCCTCCTGCAGCAACCCCCCCCCACTAGCCCCGCCGGCGCTGCCTCCGTTCGGCGATCTGGGGACCCCATCTTCCTCCGCCCACCTGGCCTCCTGGCTCGGTCCGAACTTGAAGCGGTTCAGCTCGGTGGTCAGCTGTCTGTTGTGGTCCTCTATCTCGGAGATGGATCGCCGGAGCAACTCGGCCTCTTCCTCCACGAACTGCAGGTGGCGCCGGAGCTCTGCAGCGGACTCCAGGGAGTCCCCGTAGGGGGACGTGGGCACGCTGGAGATGTGCTCCCTCCCGAGGCAATCCTTTTCGTACTGACAGCGAAGGTCCTCGTTCTCAGCCCTCAGCCCCCGGTTCTCCACTTCCAGCTCCACGATCTTCCTCCCTAGGATGTTCGCTTCCTCTTCCACCAGCTTGAGGCGCAGCTTCAGCTCGGCCTCCCGGGTGCTGGGCGGGCCTCCGCACTCCCCTGTGGGCAGAGGGCTGTCGACATCCCCGTAAACCGACTTGTACTTCTGCAGCTCCTGCTCCAGCTCGTCCTTCTCCCGGCCCAGTTTCGCCATTTTCTTGCGCATCAGAGCTGACTCCTCCTTGGAAAACTGGAGTTGGCACTTGAGGTCCGCGCTGTCCTCCTAGAGGGAAAAGGACGACGACGAACGAAAGCCGCTGTTAAACAGAGACGACAGTCGACCCAAATATAGTGAACTGTACAGATTCTGTTGTATGAACCCATTATTCTGATATTAGGGAATATAAATCAATTATCATAAATACTGAGAAGTATTAAATAAGAAACAAATCATTTGAGAATTACATTTAACTACACATTGAAACCTGTTATCACCCAACCAAAGACATTTAAATACTAAGGTGGGACAATTTTCTCAGTGAATGAGTTTAACGCTTTACGTGGCGGGTCCTCCATTATCTGCTAGCTATGCTCGCGCCCAGTGGAGCGCAGACACTACAAGAGCATATATTTCTCTCTGGGAAATCATATGGCACTCGGCAAGAAGTGCTGCTTGTGTTTGGGGATTTGGGGGATTACGATGTACACCCCAATCCAGTGCATCCCAGACGTGCTCTACTGGGGTCATGCTGGGTGAATGGATATGGCGATAAGTCTGTCTCATTGTGAAACACACAAGATGGAGGTTCTTGTTGGGTTCTAGGGGTGAGGACGTCAGTCACGGGTAGAGCGTTTCTTTTTACATCACAGCTGTAGACAGATCGGTGTGCACACAAGTGTCAGTCGAACCCGGACACTGATATTCCTAAGTTTCAGCATCCCAATAGCCTCTAGCCTTCTAGCTAGTGCCAGCTGGATCAGTGCACATTTCCCCTGGCTTGTTCGCTTGATCACAGGCCTTGCAAGTCACCAAGATGAGTTTTTCACATCTGGTTAATTGATTGTTTGGAGATTAGCTGAATGAAATGATTTTTTACTGATAATTTGTGAATGTATACTTCTGCGGTGAAATTGGAAACAAAAGCCTCTGTTTTCAGGATAGTTTAGGATAATTTGTCGTTGGGATAATTTTCCTTTGGTGCCTGTCAAGGAATAATGGATAAAATACAGAAATTTACTTCTATTTTACCTCACACAGTACACATCATTTTGGGTATTTGATAGAAATAAACATAGACCTTTAAAGCACAATATACTCAGACAATAAACAGTGAACTCACATTTTGCCTTTACACATATCATACTCATGTCTAATAGGAGTACAATTTATTTAGGACATTAAACAGCTGCTGCACTTCTCTTCTTGTAGTTCAGTTTTAGAAGAGCCTTACAGTAAAAGTGATTTGCAGACCATCTCTACAATCAGAAATAGTAACTTGTCAATGAAGGCCATTTTACATCCACTACAATGACACTTTAAATCTTTGCAGAAAATTAAAATGTTTCTTTTCCTGACAGAATGAAACCAACCTGAGCTAATGACTTCTTCTCCTTGTGCATTTCCCGACTCCCTCGTCTCTTCAAGGAGCTCTGGAAAATATAAACGCAAGAAATAAAAGCCAAAGGGTACATATTTTAATTCACTTTCATTTCAAATGCACACTTGTACAATTGACAAAACTGCCTTTGAGGCAGACAGCTCTACTGTTATTTCTCAAGGGAATTTATTTCATGGAATTGTAAGGATTTCTGTAGAAAACACTCAAGATTGGGCTTAGTGACAAATGAATCAAGAAAGAATCATTATATATGCACAATGAATTGGGTAAATGTTAAGCTTTAAAGAAATAATGCTGTGGCTCCTCAGCCAAGCCAATTTGTATTTTACTCTTTCTTT